AAAATTATAAATTTTAATATAGAGAGAAAATTTCAATTTTCACTATGTTTTATTAGTAAATTTAGCTCCTGAGTCATCATTTTTGGTCGCCACTGTATATAAAATTTTAATTATTAATTTTTTTAATCTAAAGATTAATTTAAAAATTAATATTAATATTTTTTAATAAATAAACTTAAGCAAACTTTTTCTATAAATATTAAAGTGTATACATAAATTTTATATTATTTGAAATAATTTTTTATTAAATATTTATATTCTTATTTTTTATTACACACTGCATAAAATAATATTTATAATATATAAATATAAAATATATATAAATTAATTGGCTTTTATATATTTATCTTTTGAAATTCAAGATAAATAATAAGTATTAGTTATATAAAATTATTAAACTTTAATATTTTCACCTTTGTATGTAGTAATATATTTTAAATTGACTTTTCAATTAAGATAAGAAGAAAAACTAATTTTATTGAAAGGTGATAAGTAATTTAATAAGCCTGATACAGTATATAATACTCAATGTAATATTATAGATGCTTTATTTATAGGAAAACTTGAAAATCAAATTCATTAAGAATAAAATGAATGAGATAATAAATAATATACAAATGCATCAATCTCTATAATATTTATAATGAGAATATACATGTACATTGAAAACGTGGATTACTTTATATGTAAATCTAATCAATGCAATGATAGTTTATTAATGGCGTCGGCGCAACCATACTATTATAGGGCAATAGAATAAGCTAAACAGTTAAAAATATGATTTTATAATGACAATTTCTTGATCGACGATTTCGATTTTAATATAGCTAAGATAACAGAATAAAAAAGTAAATATTGATTTATTAATTGGACAATACACTTATTTCTTAAGAACGTAGGCTTATTTAAAAATTTCCTTATAAAGATGAGAATATTGTTTCTAAATCTCATTCATCTTAATTCCTTCTTCATTTAAAAAATTCATTAAAGTATCAAGTTTTTGTTCTGAAAATTTAACTTTTAAGCAAAATTCGGTATCTAGTTTTCTGCGTCACATTTATCGTGGGAATTTTCAATAACATTATTGCTCATAACAAACATTTAATTAGATTATGTTCTCATTGATCTGGTTGTTGCGGTTTAGCCAAATTATTAGAAGTTGAAGAAAAAGGGTTATCAAAATGAAATTCATAGTTTCTGTTATCGAAAGATTCGAAACTTGACGATTGCATGTAATTTTCCGAACTCATCAAAACAAAATTAATGTCGCCGGAAGAAGAATCAAAATATGTAGATTGGTCTCCTTCTAAACATGATTCTTGTAAATCAGCGTGAAGAGTTTTATTCGAACTAATTTCAGGTTGTCCAAAAATAGTTAAATTTGATGATTCTTCAATAGTTGAATTTCGATTTTCATCATATTTGCTAAGAAAGATTTTCAAATTGACCTTTAAAATCAAGACTTTCGTTCATTTCGTCATCTAAAAATAGCGTCTGCTCATATTATTTCATTTTTTTACCTTTTTGTCTTTGCTGTCTGCGTTTCTGAATCATTCTTTTGTAAAGAATTCCTGCGGATGCTGCAATATGATGATATGCATTACGGACATATTCTGGTTGATTGTCCCAAGAATCCTTGTACATAAAAGAAAGTTGAGGTTGATTCATGCTGCAATCGCCAATAACACGAAGTTCGCGATAGACATCCATGCGAAATGCGATAAATGCATTAGGAATTCTGGATATTTTCCATTTTTTTCAAGTCTTGCGCCTGCCCTCATGATTAGATCCTGAGGGTGGGTAGGAGATTATAGAAAGAACTGTTGATATCAATGTTTTTCTGATACGATTATTGCATTTTAAAAGATGAATCGTTGGATTTTTGTATCCAGTATTTGCATTTATCGAATTATATAACATTATTTGGTTTATGAAAACAGCAAAGATATTGAAGAGATTCATGCACCGATTTTATATCGTTTTCCCTAAATCCTATGATGCTCTGCAGGGTACCCAAAACTGTGTTCTTGTGCACGAGCAAGACTCTTCATTCAAACCAGCCTCCGTCAGTTTTCGGCCAACAATCAAATATTTCGGAAAAAGTATTCTCAAATATGATGCATATTTTTAGTAGGATATTTAAATTAAGATCCAATTCTCCGGAGAAAAATAGTCCTAGAAAAAAATTTATATCCCTTATGAATTTAATAAATGCAAAATGTGCTTCTCTGTAAACTAAAAATTCTGCCTCTTTCTTACTTGCCAATTTCACACTCACATGCATAAAGAATTTTCAAATTTCTATTCACTAGCTATCCAAAAATGTAAATTTATTGTATTTTCTAAAGATCAACTATTAACAATTTTTGATTTAAACTGTGCAATTTTTATTTTTGAGTTTTAGTATCATTGAAAAGTATTAAATATGGAAATCACTATATTTCTATTACATGTATCCGTATAATGTATAAATTGGCATCCATATCGTAATATGCAAATTGGCGTTATGTGTAAACAGTTTTTCAAATTAAATTTCGGTAGGAGAATAATCCGAATACGTTTCGAATACCTTCAGGATTAACCTAGAAGCTATGACGTGGAACATTGCTGGTAAAAGGTTATACTTTATGTCTTTTACTAATTATAGATGCAAAAGTAGATGGCAGATTTATACTATAACGATAATAAATCTACATGTATTATCAATATAGTATTTAGTTTTACATGTATAAATATTTTACAAATTAATTTGTATTACCTACCGTACAGAAGTACCTCGGGTACTAATCAAAAACACACCCTGAACTTGAATAGAACACAGACATGTACAACGTGAAAGTATGAACTGATCTTAAAGTACATTTATGTCGTACAATAATTTATTTGTCAAACAAACAATACAAAACGTGTTGTCGCGTGAGTAATCTCTCTGAATTGATTCGTTGGTTTAATAATAAAGCATCAATGAAAATCAAATAGAATTTACATCTTTCCTCACTCAAAAAACCTAAACATTAAAACAATATAAAATTTCTTTTCATTCAAGTTTTGTCTGTTTATTGAGGTAACAACTAGTACTCATTTGCCAAACAAACAATGCAAACGTGCTGTCGCGTGAGTAATCTCTCTAAATTGGTTCGTTGATTTAGTAGTAAAGCATCAATGAAACCAAATAGAATTCACAATTTTCCTCACGCGATGGCACGTTTTGTATTCTATGAAAACCTAAACGTTAAAATAATATAAAAGTTTCTTTCTTCTGTTTTTATTCATGTTTTGTTTGTTTGTTTGACAACGAGTACAACTTGTTTTTTTCTTCAAAAATACGGAGTGATGAATACACGATTTGTCCATAATTCCTTGGCTGAAATATAAATGAAACCATAAAAATGCTATTCTCTAGCTCGTGTTCGCGCAATATAAGTGTGCGCAGCTAACGGACATGTATAATGCATGAATGAGAAAAGAGTTATAAATATTCCAACAACGTCCCAAGTTTTTTCATTTCTTTTTCATTTCGTTGCTATTATCCTATTTAATTTCATTTAAACAACGCAACTTTGTCAATATTTATAATTTTAAATAATCTACGTTTCCCTTAAAATCATGGATCAACAAGATCAAACACAAACCCAACAACAACCACTATTGCGACAGCGACAGAACCAACCAGCACCAGCGGGACCTCCTAACCTTGTGCAAATCCTTATAAGCGGGACTACAAATATTTTTGATAGTCAAACATTAGCATCGAATGCAAACGACAATAATATCTCAATTGTACTTATGGACTCCTACCCTTAACCTGAATTTCTCTTTCGCGATTATTCTGTTGTTTGATTCAGTGATACATTCGTTCATAAATTCTGTACACGTTACAAATTGTCTTGATTTATCGTTACGTTATTAGAATCATGGATTTAGTGATTCACTCAATTCCTTGTTCTGTTCATAAAATTTTGACCATTTATGTTATTTGAATCATTGATTTAATCATTCAATCGATTTCATGTTGTAATATACTCTTGTACATGTTGCAAACCTCTTTCAATTTATTTATACACTTTACAAAAGCCCTTTTAATCAATCAGAATGACCGGTTTAACATTTTTTCGCGCAACATTATATTTAATATTTTTGATATTTTCAATTTTAAATTTCCTTTTTCAAAATAATTCACCCCATATTGACAATTTACGTTTTATTTCAAAAATAATATTTATAGTTTGAAAAATTTTATTGTTATCATTTGTTGAATTCACTTTATGATTACAGTCCCCGGCAAAAATAATGGCGGAGATGTTTAACACCTCTCTATAAGAACACTCTATATAAGAACAAACTCTCTATAAGAACACTCTATATAAGAACAAACTCTCTATAAGAACAGAGTTTGAAAACCAATGAATTAATATATACATGTATATTAAAATCACCTCTATATAAGAACAAACTCTCTATAAGACTGGCCTGACTATACTGTATCTATTTAATTCTATAATAAAATTGAGTTTAGTTTTTTAAAAAGATGAATCCCGAAAGAACAGAATCAAAAAAAATATTTATTTATTTTTTTGTTTAAGAATATAAAATCAGTTTGATTTATAAAAAATATTATTCAAAAGGTATTTAATATATTAGATATTTACAGACTGCTTTTAGAATATATTATAACCATTATGAATTCCTAGTCCTATCTTTTGAGCTGAAAATGCACCTGCCACCTTTATAACACATGAATAATATATTTCATAACTATTTGAATATAATGATTCTGCATATGAATTATTTTATGTTTAAATATGATATATAACGCCATTTTATATTTATTTCCACCTGTAATTAAAACAAAAAATTTGTATATAAAATAAATAAAAAATAATAATCACATTTTATATTATGAATATTTGTTATATAATACAGAAAAAAAGAAGACTTAATAAAAATATAAAGTAAAATAGTATAATTATAAGTAAAAAATAAATTAATAAAAATATATAAAGGAATAAGGAAAAATAAAATATACTCATATTTCAAAAGTATATATATATAAAATATATTATTAAAAAAATGGAATTACTATTTTTGAAAAATCAACTATAAAAAATTTAAAATGCTTTTTTGATCTTTTTTATTTGTTATTCAATGAGTATTTGTTTAAATTATATAAAATTTAAATATATATACTTAATAATCTAGTAAATAAGTTTATTTAAGATTAATTTGAAAAAAATAATCAAATTAAATTATAATAATTTTTTAAGTTTTTTATTATTAAAATTTTTAAGAATTTTGCTTTTTTATAATATATTATATATAATTTCTATTTATTTATTTTTACTAATATTAATATAAATTATATAATATATATAAATATTATTCAAAAATCAGATTTAGTAAAAATTGATTTTTAATTTTAAAATTATAGTGAGTATTATTTTTATAAAAAAAATAATATTAAAATAATAAATATATATAGTATGTAACAAAAAAACTGAATATTTTATTTTTTATTATATTTAATAAATATTTATTTAATTCATATAAAACTTTAAATATATATACTTGATAATCTAGTAAAAGAGTTTATTTAAAAGTATTTAATATCTTATCTTAATAAAATTTTTTATAATTAATATTTTTTTATTAAATTTTTTTAAAAAAATTAATTATAAAAAATTTAAAATGCTTTTTTAATCTTTTTTTATTTGTTATTTAATAAATATTTATTTAAATTATATAAAATTTTAAATATATATACTTGATAATCTAGTAAATAAGTTTACTTAAGATTAATTTGTAAAATAATAATCAAATTTATTTATAATAATTTATTTAAGTTTTCTTATTATTAAAAATTTTTAATTTTAAAAATATAAATTATAAAAAATTTAATAAGATAAGTATTCAAATAGTTTTAAATAAAGTTATTTATTATACTTTCAAGTATATATATTTAAAATTTTTATATTATTTAAATAAATATTTATAAAGAAAATTAAAATATCCAGTTTTTTTGTTATATATTATAATAACTTATAATTATAAAATTATTTAAATAAAATTTTTTAATTTATTAATCAATAATATAATAGTTATAAAATTTTAAAATTATAAAAATAATAAGTCATAATAAAATTTTACTTTAAAAAATTATAATTTTTTTTTAAATTTTTATTAATTCTAATTTATCTCATAATATGAAATTTTATTATTTTATATTAATTATTAATTATTAATTATTAATATTTACTTAATATTATATATATAAATAAAAATTATTTATAATATAAAAGATTAATATATATTTATTTATTTATTTTTCTTTATTTATATCAAATAAAAATAATATTAGTTAAATAATAAACCAAAATTTTTATACTAATTCAGGCAGATTATTTTATTTAAATAATAATTAAAAAGTATTATTATTATGAATTAGTAAGTGGAATTTTATTTTAATTCATCTTAACAATATAGGATTAAAAGAGACTGAAATAATTAAAGGTAACAAGAGGAGAATTAGATTATAACTTTCAATAATGACAAAGTTTTTTAAGGCCTGTGTCAATATTTATGGATATTATCTTAATAACAGATAATTAAATAAATAAATAAATAAATAAATCAAAAAAATTATAGTCAACTTCTATTAATATGATATCATCAGTTCCAAATATTTTGGTCATAATAATGGGGTATCATAATATAAATCATATTACAAATAAAGTCAAATTTATTAATAAAATGATAATTAAATAGGTTTTACATAAT